GAAAACAGGAAATTTTAAAAAGCATTACCTTTAGAAATTTTTAGCATTTTCTCTCACTTTGCCTCTCATTGTCTTTACTACATTTTGATTTTCTTCTGCATCTAAATCTATCAGGAAACCAACATAATAAGAGTTTATGACACTTTATTATAATTAAACACAATAGCAGCAAAAGTATTTATATTTACTATTTAAATGAGACATTTAGCACAGTAAAATTTTCTTTGTCAAAAGAGAGCTGAAATTCTGTGTTAATATAGCTCCTTAATTCCTAAAGGCTTCCTATATATATATTTTCCTTTTGTCTCATAACATCCTTATAATGTCAAACCTAAAGCCAGGAAGAGCTAGGTGATTTGGTCATAGTAGTTATAAATGATATTTCAGTATGTTTGCTGGTATTTCATATACACATACCATACTTTTTAAAAGAAAAGCATTGCAACGTATTGAAATTTATAAATTTTGGATAAAAGACTTATGAGCACCATTATGTCTATTTTGAAAAGATTTATTTCTGTTGTGTTTCAGATTAATAAAGGTGAAAAATCTTCAATGGAGCAGCTCGTTGAGAGCAAAATATATCAAAGGTCCAAGTTTACATTTAATTAAAATAATTTTATTTAAGTACCGTAAGAGGGGCTCTGTGGAGGAGCCAAAGAAAAATTAAAAAAAAAAAAAAACCTTTGCATTTTAAAATATGCAGTTATATACTCTAGGTGCTTGTGGCAGAACTATTACTTGCTCTTTACAGTCTTTTCTCCCATCTCTAATAGTGGAACCTAGACACTTTCTTCCACATTCATTTGGTGGAAATGATATGTGCAGTTTGCTGGTTTGTCCCCTAAAAGATCAACCTAAAATCCTTTGGTTCTTTTCTTTCCCCCCTTCCCTTTCGCTAGCAAATGGAAAACTAGAGCTTTGCCATTGGACTCACAGATGGAAACCACATACTGGAGATGGCAAAACTTTCCTATCAGCCCCGATTACTGACTTGTTATGTTAGAGAAAAGGTAACTTCTATCTTAATGAAAACACTCTTACTTTGAATCTTTTTGTTACAGCTACTTAGCTTGTACTCTAAATAATATAACTCTCTAAAATATAGTTGTTTTTGTCATTTCAAGTTCCAAATATGTGATTAACACATTGACTT